ATGATATTAGAAATAATAATAGCAATTCCGGGTACTCAAATCACATACTAAATACAGGACATGCATACGGAACAATAACAGACGTAATGGAAGTTATAACAACAGGAAAGAAAGGTAGACATTTGAATACATTAGAGAAATACCATATATATAAAATAAGTAAGAAGGGCGTACACATGAATGACACACACATAGAAACATACAATCCCATATTTCAAACTATACACGAAATCTATACAGACTAACGGTACCTCCCTCCCCCCACTATCCATTCCCCCTCCAACACTCACTAACATAAAACACAGTACACAATACACCAGACAGCACACGTATTAAAGATAAGCAGCGACACACACAGAGAGAGCCTACACAGAGTAAGTAGAAATAACAGTATAAACATATAAGAATAACATAACATAACATAACATACGATAGTAATACGAATATTTGTATATTACAGAAAATACCTGAACAACGATAAACAAGAAGTGGCCACTGCAGCACTTAGACATAGGGCATGTACCCTGAGGAAAATTTTAATTTTAAAATTTGAAAAAGGAAAAGAACAAAAATTTTATAGATATTTTAACTTGAAATAAGTTTTAAAAAAGTGCTAATTAGAAATCAAAATTAACATGTGTAGGTTAACAAACATTTTATACAATTACAAAGACTGGTGATTTTAAATTTTAACAAGCAGTGTAACAGCTACGTAAGAATACACACCTGATGATGGCCATTTAGGGCCGAAATATGTAGTGTGGAGTGAGGGGAAAGAAGAAAGAACTAAATTAAATTGTTACACTTAAGACGGTGTTTATCTTACGTATAATAATAACTACACCATAAAAATTACACCCCAGAATAATTGAACCATTATATACAGCACACTTACCTGATCTTTAGGCCCTGTACAATCTGATGCAGAGATTCTCCTTTTGTTTCAGGTATAAGCAGAAATATAAAGAAGATCGCATTCAAACACACCAGACTATGGCTGAAGAACACTCCCCCTATTGTGACAGTACCTGAAAATATCAAGTGAAAGAAAATTATTCAAGAGAACATGTTTGATTCTTTGGTTACTTAATAACACTTCAACTGCATAGGTCACACAGCATCCTTGAGCTACGTTCATTTAAAAGTGCTTGCAATTGCTCAGCTAAATAACATCGATGATAAGATGATCATATTGTGAGAGACAGAATTTTAAGGCATATGGATACAAGACAATGACAACAAATGACAGTGTTGCCAAATTCTTGCTGGGTATTGAAAGAGACATTAATCAGTGATGCATGTTCATTCATATACATACAGAACACTGATGCCAAGGATATGTGATGCTAGGCAAGCAATTTAGTCCAGCATTTGAACTTGCGCCCTCCCAAGTATGAAACATGAGTTTCAGATTGGCAGGATGACTGGGAATGATAATGGAGAAAGATGTACATATTTTATGATTATGACTCTAGATATGCCAGGCAGAACTTAGATCAACAGGAAGCCTCAGACAGGAAAGCTGAAGTTCAGACCAAGAATAAAAACTGAGGTAAAGCTATCCCTGCAAAAGGACGTGGAGGCCTATAAGGTCATGAGACATCAAGATTCCCACATTTTATACACAATCAGCTAAAAGATGGCGGTGAGGTTGTCAGCCTTACACACTGCCTGCCCTTTATCCCCAGGAAGATTCCTAGTAGTCATTTCTGTTAGAGGTGGAGTCACCCCAAGGTCATATTGCGGCTGGAAGGGTTAGGTCAATTGAAAAACACATTGACCTCATCGGGAATCGAACAGGCGACCTTCCAGCTTGTAGCATACTGCCTCAACCAACTATGCTACCTCATGCTGCAAAAAACCCTGGGACTTCCAAAAGACAAGGCAAAAGTATTTATCAGAACATCATCTTGTATCAGATTCTACTGTCAAGTGGTTACACTCTTTACTTTTTAAAGGTTAGTAAAATACTAAATAATTTCTCATCACCACCACCAGCACCCTACAATCCATAACAAACTTCAGCTCCATCTTAGCCTTGGTTTGCTGAGATTTCCTCTTGCTCTTTGGTAAAGTGTCCCTGAACCATTCTATCTTAATGGTGTATCCAGCTCTACCTGTTGGAATTTATTTTCTTTTGTACTGAGCTTATGTGCCAATCCTGTCTTATTTCTTATTCATGTCAATAATGCAATATGTGCTTTTAACTGTTTCTTAATGTCACTTGCTGTGGGTATCACCATGTCATCCAGACAAGACAAAACCATTTGGTCATGTGAAAACATGAGGAAATATTATTCTTCCCAGGCACAAACACAACCTTGAAAGTTCTATTAACATACTGGCTGTTCTCCAAAACAAAGGTGAGTGCTTCCCCCATGACTTTCTTCCATTGTTCATACTGTTATTCAACTGTCACAAAAACCACAATACAATAAAAGAAACACACATCCCTTGTTATTTTGCAAACATTCTGGTAAACAATAACATGTGATCATGTATTTCAATATCTTCATCCAAATTACACAATAAGATACAACTGATGCAAGAGACACCTCATCAGAGATAATGAACATTAAACACTTTGTCCTGTGCGTCTCCTTCCCTTCAATTTAGTTTAACAGTGAGCTGGAACATTCACAGCCAATATCAAGAAGACATTGTGTACTACATTTTTTCTGATAATTGTATTTCTAGTTAATTATGATAAATTTACCATTTTGGTATCGCAGATCCCTCATTTAAAAACAACTGAGGGAGAGTTCTTTAAAAGCCAAACAAAAAATTTCCTGCCCTTTATGGAACCCAGACTTTAGTTACTGTGTTAAAAAGATTCTATCAAATTCAGTCTATGTCCCCATACTACACATAAGATTCACTTCTTCACTACCGTCACCGCTGCTGTCGTCATCATCGTCATCATACCATCTATGCACAGGTCTCTCAAGTGTCACTTTCCACTAGGCTTTTAGTTTCTTCAATATCTTATTTGAAAATTTGGAAAATACTAAATATGGCTTCTAGCTCTCCTTGACTTGGAAGCCTTCATGCCACCTACAAAATTTTAATTTATACTACCCAATACAGCTACCACTTGGATTCTTGTTCTATTCTAACTAGAATTTGAACAAGAGACTAGTGTAGTTAATACAGACTAAGCCATTCCTCATTTCACAAATAAATACTTATGTGATGTTATGTACTTACTTATAAAATATGTAGAAGTGACAGGGATAATTAAATCCGCAAACCAGTGCAATGAAGTAGTCAGAGAGACGGCACGTCCCTTCACTGATGCTGGAAATATCTCTGTCAACAGAAGCCATGTTAGAGGACCAAGCCCAAAAGAATATGCTATCTCATAACAAATCACAGCAAACAGAGCAAGATAGCGCAATGATGGCGAAACTGCTGTATTTACTGGAACAGAACACAATGGTGATGCCCCAGCATATGTGTCATCAGCAACCAGAGATACTGGTGTGGGCAGGAGGGGAAACGGTGGTGGGACTCCAGTTGGCAGCAGTGGAGACGACATTCCAGCTCCAGTAGCATAGTGAAAACCTCCACCAGAAGGCAGAACAGGCACCAGCTCTCCTACTTTTATGCTCCCACAAGGGTCTAAAGAAGGGCTGAGTACTAGGTCCACCTCACTTTCTTCCATGGCTGATATCAGGCCCAGCAGAGCAATGCTAGTCATCATACAAGTTGCTCCCACTATCAAAGATAGTCTTCGTCCAATTTTATCCACGACACACAGTGACAGAGATACAGAACCTACCTGAAACAACAATAAAAGTGGAAAGGTACACTCCTGTGGGACACACATCTGTGTTCTTTAATGTATTGCATAGATGATTAGCCTTGATAGTCATTTAGTGTAGTTACAAACACATTGCTCTAAAGCTTGTCATACTATAGATAACAATAATGGAGAGTCAGAAATTATATTTCCTTGTATTTCATTATATATGAACCATGTACAGTGTGTCCAGGTTCTGTTAGGACTGTGTTCATTAAAAATACAAAAGGTAAATTGTTTTCAATATTTCACTCCTTTTATTCAAAACAGTCTCCTTCTGAATCAATACATAGCTGGAATCGATTGAAAAGTTTTAAAAAACAATTACTGTAATCCTTTTGTGGAATCGCATTCAAAACTGCGGTACATTCCCTTTGGATGTCCTGGATGGTGTCATGATGGTCTCCTTTCATTGCCAGCTTAACTTTTAGGAACAACCAGAAATCTGCTGGAGCCAAATCTGGCAAATATGGAAGATGATCAAGGACTGTCATCCGTTTCCTGGCCAAAAAATCATGCACGATCTTCGATTTGTGGGGTGGGGCATTGTCGTGGAGGAGCGACCAGGAACCTTGCTCTCGATATTCAGGTCAAATTCGAAGAATTCTCGCCCACAAACGATTGAGGACTCCGAGATAATAATCAAAATTCACTTTTTGACCTTCTGGGAGAAATGCCTTGTGAATGATTCCTTTGGAATTGAAGAAAACGGTTAGCAGTGTCTTTACTAGACTCTTTTGCATGTGCCGTTTCTTTGATTTCGGCTTCTTTGGGCTCAACCACGCTGCACTCTGCTGCTTTGTGAGAGGCTCATATTGAAAACACCATGCCTCGTCACCAGTAACAATCACTTTTGTAAATTCTGTATCACTTTGGGCTGACCATAATATGTCTTTGCAGTGTTCCACTCTGGCATGTTTTTCATCGCCTGACAGCACGTGCGGTACAAATCGTGCACAGACCTTCCATTTGCCCAAATCCTCAGTCAAAATTTGATGCACAGTACTTTTTGGTATTCTCATAAGCTCCTTGATGAGTCTTGCAGAAACACATCTGTCTGATGCAAGGATTTCGGTCACTTTTTCCACATTTTCTTCAGTGCAACTTGTTCTCAGCTTTGATGCATGTGGAGCGTCTTCAATGTCCTCCTTGCCGTCACTAAATACAGAATACCATCGAAAAATGTTCGAGGGACTCAAACAATCACTACCATACACACTTTTCATCATTTTGTATGCTTCTCCAGCCGTTTTGCCTAACTTCAAACAAAATTTGATGTTGGCTCTCTGTTCAACAGCCATTTTCCGACGAGTGTCAGAACACATGATGCAGCAATGCTTGCGCTTTGAAATTATAGACAGCCACAGCTGAAACTTCAAGAATCTTAATGCCACAACTCGCCAACAGATGGCATTGCAGGGTAACATTTAAAAAAATGAGTCCTAATGGATCCTGGACACACCGTGTAAGTATGTTTCAAACAAACATCATAGTGTATGATTTGAGGCTTTCACAGAGGTGACTATGAAGAAAGCAGTCTTTTGGGATTTGGCACCGTGCTTAACTTCTTGTCATGTAGCAAGCATACAACTGTAGCTTATGAATGTACACAATATTTTCTAATTCATAAAACTTTCTCAAGAGGAGGCTGCCTGATCTGGGCATGCTACACATTTAAATTCAACTTTGTATCCTTCTTAGCATCATCTCCCCAAACAATAATTTCACAAGAAAAATATGAGCTACACTAACCTATAACACATCATTTTCATTACATCCAAGAAAGTAATTTTAGACACTCTACCACATGTAATTAAATATAGACTGGAGCTAATCTTGTTGAAAATTGTGCCAATGCCTCCCATGCCAGATTACTCCCAACAACAGCAGCATAGCAAATTAACCCTCTCTATTTCACTATACCAGCCTGATACAGAATGGTGGCTACCTATGCTGAGCAACACAGAGCTACTAAGTTGTGGCACTGTTGTGCACTTCATATTAGATTTACTTGCACCACATGTTACTAAGCACTTATTATGATCATTATTATTCATACAATATGATTAATAACATTTAGTATCTTGTAATCAACGGAGGTCATCATCACTGTCTGACCCATGTGAATCTGACTGAATCAGGCTGACAATGAACGACTCCATGACCTTGTCTTGCATTATTTCTTCCATAAAATCCTCTTCATTGCATGTGCTTCACAAATTAAACGCAACTTTCTTTCAAGCAGAAGCCTAAATGTTGTCCATGGCCTTGTGAGAAGATCTTTCAACATCCACAATTTTAAAAGCGTCGTTTCTTTCTGTAATGTTTAATTTCACTTGTGCCTATGAGTTTAATAGGTATGTATGCACAATGACAAAGGGCTAAATGTACTCCTCCTGTGTGACCATAACTTCTTTGCAATGCCATCCAGTTTGCACTTTTTACCATGTGGCTTACAAATTCTCTCATCAACTACAACAATTCTGCACGCGACTGTGTGTGTGGAACATTTCTGCAGAGCAGCCAAGCTACAATATAAGTTTCTTTTGCTGTTTACATGATTCGCCAACAAAACATAATGATGCTTACAATGACATATTCTTGTTGATTTTCTTTGTGTCGTACTTACATATCACTTAACAGCCATATTGGATGAGAAGAAACTTTTTATTATAATACAAAACAAAAACAAATGAACATAGATCACTATTATCAACTTGAACATTTTTATATTACTAGATTCTCAACATTCCTCCTTAATTTCAAAATGTTGTCAACATTATTAGCTGTTTTATAAAGTTAAATTGAATAACACTTAGTAATTTTGGTCTTCAGATTACAAAATTAGTACTTGTAATTAAAATTTTCTCAGTCTTATCAAAATCAGACTTACTTCTTCTTAAGTATAATGTCTCTAAACTTCGCAAATTTCTCTGGTGATAGCAGTTTTGTTAAAATGTCTGCCACCTGAGTTTCAGTGTTACAATATTTGATTGAGAACAGTTTCTCTTTCAAGTGTTCACTTATGTAGTGATACTTAACGTCTATCTGCTTACTCCTACGTGTTACTTGTCCAGATTCTATTAGCTTGATTGCACTCTGATTGTCAGCACAGTTCAGCTTCCACCCTTTTTCCTGTCAACTCCTCTATCAACATCTTTAGATATTTCAATTCTTTACAGCACTCAGCTGGTGCAATATATTCAGCCTCAGTGGCTGATAATGCAACAATACTCTGTTTCCTATAGCACCATGATATCATAATTACATATCCAGTTACACTCCTCCTAGCCTTTACATCCCCTGCACAATCAGCATCACTAAATGCTTCCAGTTTCACAGTTTCGGAGTCAGCTGAGGTATATTTTATTCCTGAATCTCGTGTACCTTTCACATACCTAAGGGTCTTTTTTACATTTTGAACAGCTATTTTGTCAGGATATTCCAAGGTTCGACTTTCCACATTTACAGCGAATGCCATATCGGGTCTGGTTTAGAAGTCATATATAGCAGGCTTCCTACAGCTTCTCCGTAAGGAAATCTTATGTCATTTTCTCCTTCGTCATTTGTTGGTGGGGTCGTGGCCATGGGCGTTTTCATTTCTCAACTTTCTTGCATGTTGTATTTTTCCAACATTTGGCTTGCATAGTTGGTTTGAGAGATACGAGTATGTATCCCATCTGGTTGCCTCTCAATCTGTATTCCTAAATAAACTTTTGGATTTGTGGTTTTTGTTTTCTGGAATTGATTTCCCAGTTTCAGCAAAATTTCCTCTATTTGTCTTTCATCCTCTCCCATGATTATCCCGTCATCCACATGAATGGCCATGAACAAACTATTGGCATCATTCTTAAAAATGCATTGGTCAGATTTTAGTTGGTTTAGACCTTCTTCTTTTAGAAAGGTTGTCAACTTCTTGTTCCATTGCGATGGTGCTTGTCTTAGGATATATAATGCTTTTTCAGGAGACATATATTGCCAGTGTTCTTGTATCCTTCTGGTATCTCCATGTAGTCTTCCTCCTCAAGGTCTCCATACAGGAAGGCAGTCTTCACATCAAAGGTTTGCATGTTCATATTCTTATGTGCTGCTATGGCAAACAGTACTCTAAGAGAATTCATGTCAACAACTGGGCTAAAGGTATCCTTGAAATCTATTTCCCCTTCCTTTTGTTGGTATCCTCTCACAACCAGTCTGGCTTTGTGTCTTCCATCATCCTTTATTTTGAAACCCCATTTACTGGTCAGAATTTTCTTGCCCATTGCTTTCTCTCTGTTTACATATATCCAAGTTTTGTTTTGGTAGAGCGAATCCTTTTCCTCTTTAACGGCCTTCTTCCACTTTTTGCTGTCTTCGCTCTCCATGCACTTGCCATACGTATAGGTGAGCATACCCTCCTTCTGACTCTCTGTGTGATAGTCTTGGTACTTTGGGTGCAGCTGAATGTTTCTTCTTGGTCTCAATGCATATCCATGTTCATTTTGTCCATTGTTTTTCCTTCCATTATCCTTGTGGTCAGCATTTTCATTTTCTTCATCCTCTTCAGTATCTGTTGGTTCTTCTTCATGGTTGTCAGCTTCGGGTTCTTGCTGCATTTTGCTATCTTCCTGATCTGGATTATTTGGCTTGTCTTCTGGATCCATCACTCTTTCCATTTCCTTTTGTTTATTTGTTGTCACAGGTTTAATTGTGAATGTCACATCTCTGGAGACAGAGGTCCTTTCTGTATTTGGATCCCATATTCTGTAGCAATTTGTGTTGTATCCAATGAATATTCCTTTCTTGCTATGACTGCCCAACTTTTTCAATGGTCCGAGAATTTTAGTGTACACTTCTGAACCAAAAATCTTCAATCCAGCCAGATCTGGTAGTTTACCATACCATTTCTCTGCTGGCGTTCCATTCACTGTCACTGTTGGACTTCTGTTTAGCAGGTATGCAGAAGTGAGTACAGCTTCACCCAACATTCTCTCACTTAA